CAAATACCTTGACTTCTCTCCTTCCATCACAAATACCTTGACTTCTATTCAAGACAAATGGATTTTTTTTTCATCAAATGCAAAGGAAATGAACAGCCTTAAAGATGATACCAATAACTCCATATAGCCAAAAATTGACGAGTGCCTGATTCCAGCACGTGGTGACACAAATGATACTTCGTCTCCTCGTCAAAACACTCCAACAGAGCTTCTGAAAAAGCCTTCACATCCAACAAAGGGTAAATCCTGGAGTTGAAGCTTTTCCGTACAATTTTTTCGGGTCAATTTCTCAAATTACCGGGCCTCTTGCAATATTTCCCGGTACCTTCAAAGCATCTGCATACAGCACAGGTGAGACATGTGTCAAAACATCCCACACCCGTGTCAAAACAAGGGAACAGCTGCCGTACATATGGCCATTAAGTGAAACTCTTCTACCCTACAAGGTATGAACGAGCTCACAAGTCAGCTGTTGGGAGAACCGCCCCGCTCCGCCTTGGTCGACGCTTTCTCAACACAACCTGAAACTTACAGGCTAATAACGAAAAACTTGAATTTGACGGAACATTTCTGATCACTGCTACACACACACACACCCAGACATTATATATATCTGCACTACTCAGTGTAAGGCACCACCACACGTCATGTTTCAGAACGGTGTATGTCCGAGCCTTGCACGAAGAAGTCCGCCCCTCACTCACAAAACGTAATACTGGGAAGCATTGGCGGCTGAGAGATGAAGCTTGCCTCTCAGTTTGGGTTCGATGCAAAGACATAGTTCAAGTTTTCCAATCTCAGGACTGGAAGGCGGGCGGGTGGGACAACCAGCATCTGGTCATCAACGAGGGCAACGAAAAAAAAAAAAAAAAAGAAAAACAAAAATGAAAAAAATATCACAAACTCCTCCGAGATCTCTCTCTCCCAGATCCCCTGTGACACGACAGGGATATTGAGACGACACAGAGCCGGGAACCTGGGACAAGACGTGACCAACTATTTGCTGCAACGCCCAAAACAAACCTGTGCAAGGATATCTCCGAGATAGCTGCACGCTATTTCATATCAGTGGGAAATAAACACCCACAGAAACTTGGTTCGCTGCATGCTAGGACGTACATAAACCCAAGTACGCACACATCTGCAAGATAGGACGTACATAAACCCAAGTATGTACACAACTGGATGCTAAGACGTACATAACCCAAAGCACACATCTATACACCCAATTACGGTAGTACACATCTGCAAACTAGGACGTACATAACCCCAAGTACGGCACACATCTGCACGCTAGGACGTATATAAACCCAAGCACACATCTATACACCCAAGTACACATCTGCAAGCAAGGACGTACATAACCCAAAGCACACATCTATACACCCAAGTACACATCTGCACGCTAGGACGTATATAAACCCAAGCACACATCTATACACCCAAGTACACACCAACCGTGTCATTCTACAAGTACCCCAGTGACTTCTGTCAAGTTGTGAGGAGTTTCGAGACAAAGAGAACCCCCCCCCCTACCAATCAGAACTACTACTTCGGCAATCGTTAGTTTTTCAACTAGGAAGGAAATTTACGAAACTGATGGAACCCTTCTTGTCAGATGCCCCCTTGAGGTCTTGGGTCAAACAACAAACAGTTTTCTTCTCTGGAACCCCCGGAAATTCAATTTGGGCGACTGTGGAATAGCAGTGTTTGACGGTAAGTTTTCGTCGTTGCATACAAACTGACTTCGTATACGTGAAGTCGCGGCATGACAATGGCGGATAATTTCATCTACAGCAACTGAGCACATCACAAACATACAACAAAACAAAGGAAATACTTTAGTTATAACTTCACAGAACACAAAGCTCATGAGTCAAAAGTCTGAATTGTTCATTCAGCCTCACAGAAAGAAATAACACCCTTCATCACCACCGTGATACATTTATAGAATCTTTCTCTCACTCTTTCTGTCACTTCGTGTCTCAGAATAAAAGCACTCTTGTCTTGATTTCACTCTTTCTGTCTCTTCAGGTCTCCGAATAAAAGCACTCTCGTCTTGATTTCACTCTTTCTGTCGTTTCGTGTCTGAAAAAACCAGACAGTCTTCTTCTCCTGATTCTACTTCTCCCTTCACGTGGCAGAACAAAACACTCCTTTCACACAGCGAGGTCAGCTCCCTCTCTCCTGATGAGAATCTTTATCTTATAATATATACTATATAGAGAGAGAGAGATAGATTTCATGAATGACTGGACATAGCATATTTCACTTTAGATACTTGTAGTGACAGATTAGTCGGGTGAACAAGCTGACAAGAACAGACTTTTGTACACACACACAGCGTGGTGACCCAGACAACCCTCTGTCAGGTGGGAAAAGCGGCTGGGGGGGGGGGGGGGGTGTTAAGGGACACTGTGTGTGTGTGTGTGTGTATATGTGAGAGTGAGGCCATCAACTACCTATTTATAACGGCCATAATCTCCCTGTGTGTGTGTGTGTGTGTGTGTGTGTGTGTGTGTGCGTGTGCGTGTGCGTGTGTGTGTATGTGTGTGCGTGAGGCCATCAACTACCTATTTATAACGGTCATAATCTCCCTGTTGGTGGACTGGATGTCGTCTAGCAGGCGGCCGCCGCCCGAGGGCGTGGAGGAGGTGTACGTCTTCAAGTTCTGGCTGTGACCTTGCAGACGCGACAGCAGCTCGCGGGCGTGGAACTTGGCGTGCGGCGGCAGCGAGTCGATGTAGCGTGAGCACAGGCCGTAGAACGCCAGGACCTCCTCGGAGAGCAGCATAAAGTTTGTGCTCGACTTGTTGCCCGCCTTGGCCAGCTGGTCGATGCACGACTTGAGCCGCTCCGACGCCGACCGGATCGAGTCCAGGTGAACGGGCTCCGAGTTCTCCGTCTGGTTGGCAGCCAGCGCCTCCCCGCTCCCCCCCGAGGCAGGGTGAAGGTCACCGACGAAGCTAGCCGTCATGGAGGCGGACTCGAGGAACTGCTGACTGCCGGGGCCGATGGGAAGCTTGATGCCGGTCGATCGGTAGCCCCCGGCGTTGTCTCCTCTGTTGTGGTGGAGTGAGTCGGCCGCCGCCGCGAGGCACGCCTCCGCGCTGACAAGGTCAAGGTTAGTCTCTCGTACGGCCGAGGGCGGGCCGGAGCCCGGGGGCTGGCTCTGTGGGGAGTGCTTCTGTTGGTCGGCGGTGGAGTTGAGGTTGAGGGAAGGTTTGGCGTACATCTTGAAGGAGCTGACGTTGCTGGGCGTCCCGTTGAGCTGCTGTTCTTCCTCTCGAGACTTGAGACCCACCATCCAGGCCGGGGGGCGGTACGACTCCCCGCCCCCCGCGGGCCCCCCAACCCCCTGGTTCATGTTGTTGAAGTCGGGGCCCAGCATCGAGCGACCTTGACCCTGCTGCTCCTGTATGTGCAGGTTGTCGGCAAACTGCCGCGAGAAGCGAGGGCTAGGCTTTGGTCGAGTGCCCGCCCCGCCCACACCGCTGAGCTCCGGGAAGTGTGTGGAGGTGT